TTCCTCCCTATCCCTGCACAAAACACAACCGCATGAAGTATTTTACCACTCCAACTGGTTCCCAGGAAATTTGCATCTAGTGTGTGAGTTCGCACAACGAAGAGTAAATGACTTATCAAAAAGTGAGCTGGCGTAGAAAGAAGAATTGTTCGATTGTTAGCTAAGTTCGTAAGTAGAGGTTATGTATGGATAACCCCGGGCTACAACATTATATGGATAACAACGCGTTGGAATCAGGGGCTTGTCAATTTTTGGGAGTGTTATTGGCATTATTTGAAAGCTTATCCATTTGCCTTGCTTTCACTGGAAAAAAGTACCCTCGTATCTTCGATAGAAGTCGAGATGTTTGTGGTTGAAGAAGATGGGGTCGCTGGGTGCCAAGGGTAATATTGGTTAGAAAATGGCCGTCAAAAGTTTGATAATTGCAATTAGTTGAGAGTCCTTGAAACCAATAAAATTATATATTGTGTCCCTTTTCAACGTTTTTCAGTAGAATTCACATGGAAATATGTTTTTATATGGACATGAAAGGTGTTGAGCCCCTCCCCCCAAAAAAAATTTTTTTTTTTTTTTAAATTCGATAAAAATTATCAAACTGGCGGAAAAATGCCAATTTCTTTGAATTCAGTAGTTTGGCAAGCGCCTGCTTTCACCACCATGCTTCTCAAAGGATTTTAAGATACCTGTGTCACCACATGGTGAATGAGGCTCTTGTCAGTCTTTGGGCATAAAGGTGTTATAATCAGAAAGCCTGTTTATTTGTTTTGATTTAAAGGAAAAATGCCCGTCTGTCTTAAATAGAAGTTGAGATTGTTGCGATTAAAGAAGATGGGGATTACCTGATGTCAGATGAAAAATTGGTCAGAAAATGGCTGCCAAAGTTGACTGACTTCGAGAGCTTGAGAGCCATTGGAGCCTGCACATTTACATTTTTGGACTTCTCATTATTGTTTTTCCAGTAAAACACTCAAAACAATGTGTTCTTGAATGGAAATTAAAGGTATTGAGCCCAAAACAAGAAACACAAAACAAAAAATTGATGAAAATTGCCTAACAGTCGGACAAAGTTGGTTTCTTTGGCTTCATCATTTTACGAGCACCTGATTTCACCACGATGACACCCAATTCTTATTCAGATTTGATAATGATGTAAGAAAAAGGAAGTTTGGTATTTCGAGGTTAAAACGCTCTAAGCATCCAGCATATTTCGACCAGACGTGACACACGCTGACGGAGTGTAAAATAAAATATAGAAATATACAACTTCAGCAGCTGCACAGATTACATGGAGAAAATGGCAACAAATATCACACGCATGCCCTGACAACACAGCATGTGCTTGAAAACATTGATAACATATAATAAAATACACTACAGTACAATGTAGTGTGTGTGAACAAAACAACAAAACACAAGAAAAGAAGAGGGAAAGTGGAGACATTTTACCAAGTTGCGTACTGCAGACTCTTAATTGATTTTTTCTTTTAATTAAGAAAAAAACACCTGATCATAAAAGAGCCAGTGACAGCCAAGCCAGATTAAATTCTTCTTTTAATTCATGAAGAATCTGCACAGACTGGGGAATGTAAAAGTACAAGAAATTGTATCTAGCACGATAATGAAATTAAACTAAGATAAATACGAATATCTCAATATAGAGTAGAGAAACCCACTCATCAACCCCCCACCCCCCCTCAAATAAAAAGAAAAAGTATTTAAAGATTTACAACAATTTCAACTGCAGTCCAAGCAAGAAGTTTACAGGGAAATGCTATTGCTTGGTGTAACTAGATATCGTGCTTTGAGCACAGACTCTGGGTGATTTTAATCAGCTTATGTCATCTTCTTTTTCTCCGAGGGACAGATCTGAAACAATCTTCAGCGATCATGGTTCGCCTTCTACGTCTCTGCTCAGATGTTCTGATCGCTTATGCCCAGATATATATACGTGTCAGGACGCGTTGGAATCAGGCACTCGTCAACTTTCGGGCTTGTGGTGTGGAGTTATTGGGATCCTCTTAGAGCCTGTTCATTTATATTGCTTTAAAAAAAAAAAACCCATTTATCTTGAATAGAAGTCGAGAGATTTGCGATTGAAGGAGGCGTGATTGCCTTGTTTCAGAAGTAAAATTTGTGAAAAAATGGCCGCCAAAGTTTGGTGATTTCCAAAGTTTGAGAGTCTTTTCAAGCTAAAAATTTACTCTTTTTTTGCCTTTAATCAACGGTTTTCTGTAAATAACCGCTCAGAAATGGGTTCTCAAATGCTTTTAAAAGGTGTTAAGCCAAAAGGCAAACATTTAATAAAATTTGTCTATCGGGAGGAAAAATGCCGTTTCCTTTGATTACATTATTTTGACGAGCGCCTGATTTCCCCACAATGCCTTACATATTGTACTTGACGCAGCTCATCCAGTTTCACTGATAATGAAAAGATTAAAATTCAAAGTATTTTGTCTTTCCCTCACCAATCCTTCCCCCT